TGTAGTGTGATGTGTGTGTGTAGTGTGCGTGTAGTGTGTGTCGTGGAAGTGTGTGCGTGTAAGTGGTGTGTGTGTAAAAAGTGTGTGTAGTGGTGTGTATGTGTTGTTGTTTGAGTGTGTTAGTTTGTTAAAGTGTGTGTAAAGTGTGTGTTGTAGTAAGTATGTGTGTGTAAGTGTGTGTGTGGTTGGTGTAAGTGTGTGTAAGTGTGTGTTGTGCTGGAGAGTGTGTGTGTGTGTTGCGTGTAAGGTGTTGTGGTGTGTAAAGTGTGTTTGTTGGTGTGTGTGTAGTGTGGTAAAGTGTGTGTGTTGTAGTTGGTGTTGTGTGTGTTGTGTGTGTGTTAAGTGTGTGTGTAAGTGTGTGTGTGTGTGTGCGGTGAGTGGTGTGGTGTGAGAGAGGTGTGTGTGTTGTGTTGTGTTTGTGACTTGTGTTGTGTGTGTGTGTAGTATGTGTGTGACTGTGTGTGTGCGTGCGTTTAAGTGTGTGTGTGTGTGTGTGTGTGTGGTGTGTGTAAGTGTGGTGAATGTCGTGTGTAAGTATGTGTGTGTGTTGTGTGTGTGTGTGTGCGTGTAACGGTGTGTGTGGTTGTGTGTGTGTGTAAGTGTGTGTGTGTGTGTGTGTGTGACACTGTGTGTGTGTGGGTGGTAAGTGTGTTGTGTGTGTGTGGATGTGTGTGTGTGTGTGGTGTGTTGTATAGTGTGTGTGTGTGTCGTAATGTGTGTGTTACACCAGTGTGTAGTGTGTGTGTGGTGTGTGTGTGTTAAGTGTGGTGTTGTGTGTGTAAAGTGTGGTGTGGTGTTGTGTGTGTGTGTAGTGTGGTGTGTGTGGTGTGTGTGTGTGTGGTTAAAGTGTGTGGTGTGTGTGTGGTGTTAAGTGGTGTGTGTGTGTGTGTGTGTAAGTGGATGTGGCGACTGGTGTGGGTGTAGTGTAATGTGTGTGTGTGTGTAGTGTGATGTGTGTTGGTGTGTGTAGTGGTGTGGTGTGTGTGTGTGCGCTGTAAGTGTGTGTGTGTGTGTGGTGTGCGTGTGTGTGTGTGTGTGTGGTGTGTGTTGTGTGTGTTGTGTGTGTAAGTTGTGGGTGTTGTGTGTGTGTAGTAGTGTGTGTGTTGTGTGTTTGTGTGCGTGTAAGTGTGTGTGTGTGTGTGGTGTGCGTGTAAGTGTGTGTTGTGTGTGGTGTGTGTAAGTGTGTGTGTGTGTAGTGGTGTTGCGTGTAGTGTGTGTGTGTGCGTGTAAGGTGTGTGTTTTGTGTAGTGTGTGTGTGTTGTTATGTGTGTGTGTGTGATGTTTAAGTGTGTGTGTGTGTGTGCAACACCCCCAACGTGCGTGGTAATGTGTGTAGTGTGTGTATGTGTGTGTGTGTGTGGGTGTTGTGTGTACAGTATGTATGGGTGCCACTGTGTTGTGTGTGTGTGTTATGTGTGTGTGTGGTGTGTGTATGTGTGTGTGGTCACCTGTCTTCACTAGTGGCTTCAACAAGCCCCCCCGCCCCTTGCCTCAGACTCGCCTGCATGATTGGTCAGGAATAGATACCTCATTTTGGCTCCTCTCATGTGTCGTTGATTAAAGACGTCATGCGCAGGCGACGGAGTGTCGTCAGTAGTCGAGGGAGGAGTTGACACGCTTTTTTCTTCTTCTTTTTTTTGTTCTTTTCTTGTGACTTCTTTAGTTTCGTGTTTCGGGCCGAAGCGGAGAAGAAGAAGTAGAAGAGTACCGGAAGCGTTGAGGTGAGCTGACGACCTGTTTGTGTGTCAGTGCCACTGACCTCTGCTGCTACACACTAGCACACGATTTGCTACCATACGAAACTCTGTAGAAAAATGTTGCAGCTTAAGGTTTTTCTGCTCATAGCAAATAATATACATGTGCGAGGTTCAAATCTGTTATTTACAGAACAGGACGGGTCTTGTAGTGAATTCGGCTGTCATGTAATTCACCTGCAGAGTCCTCATTCCCACAAATCCTCACCTTTTATGACCTGCTTTACGCTAATCGCCGCCGCCGTCTCCGTTTGTTCTACAGGAACAACTTGACACGATTGCAAAGGGGATCTGGTTCAGATAAGTTACACAAACTGTGATTGGTTGATGCTGTGCCCGCCGAATTACAGGTTAGCTCGTGCGCTGTCAGGATCGGTGTCGAGTTAAAGTCTGCCGCGTGCACGCGTGTGCCTACGAGCAAGGCAGCAAACTGAGCAGGTTTCTCTATGGAGTGTGGTTGCCAGAGTTGGCACCGTGGGAACGGAGTTTTCTGTCGTCGTTTTCCTCGTGAATTAAATAACTTTGGGGATTAAAAATATGAGATATGACAGAGTAGGGGAACTGGTTGAGAACAATGAAGTCAGTGTGAGACAGAAAAACAAAGACACCTGAACAAAGATTGTCTGTTCTCAGATCAGCCACAGTGAGGAGGAGGAAGAGTGACTGAAGAAACAAATCATATTAAACGACAGAGTGTGTGTCAGAAACAGGCCAATCATAACAAACACCGAGCCTAGAACAACACACACACATACACACA